TACCATTTATTTGATACAGCGAAACCAAACAATTGTTTCATTTTGCTTCATATACAATAAACGTCAATACCTATGTGGTGCTGATGTGGTGGATTTTTTTCAATAAACACCAATGAAACCAAACATCCCCTATATCTGACCCATTCAACCTAATCCGAACAGTTTAACTGCTGATTCCAACCTAAAACAAAAAACGGTTCAACCTTTAAGTCAGTTTTTCAAACACTGAAAAAATATTGAGAGAGAGAGGTCCATATGTAATGTATCTAGCTTAGGACAGGAGCTATGCCTTGTCGTTTACCCCCGGCCGGTCCCCCAAATACAAAGCTCCTACTCCTGCAGATTCATCCATGCTTTGTTGTGCAGATTTTGGACATCATGGTCCATCTCCCTCTTTGTTGAAAGGTTTCTGGCTTTCTGCTTTGCTTGATTAAAGGACCTCTTCAAGGGCAGCCCGTCGGGCTCAGCTTTACACTTTTTCGGGCTTGGGTTTGCCCATTCAAAATTTGGCAAAAGTTCAGCTGGCCCAGCTCATGAAGTCAAGAGGATTGGATGGTTGGGATCAAAATGAAACCCTCCAACTCTGTAAGGGCTGAAGAAAACAAGAGCTATTGCTGATATTACGTACAATTAGGCCCGTCAATGATAACCAAAAATCTATAGATCCATGATTCAATTATTTTGGATTTGGATATATTTATGTAATCGGATCATAATATTTATAGATTTTAATATATAAGTTTTTTTAATTATATTTAAAATTATAAAAAAGTATTTTTATATATTATGTTATATATGAATATATATATATATATAATAAATTTAGTATGCTATATTTACATTAATCTATTATATATAAAAGTTGAAAAGTAATTAACTTTTTTAGTTTTTTGTCTTAAAAAAAATTAAAATAGAGACAGATTAAATCCAAATCTGATCTGAATTCATTAGGATTTAAATTTGAATCCAAAGCCTTCAAATCCAATTATATGATTTCGGATCATATTCAGATTCAAATTTTCAATTATCAGATGATCAGAATTGGATATCATCAAGGCATTAGATGACCAGAATTGTGATGTCTCGTTAGAATTAGAAATAACAAGACGGTCCCTATTCCTTGGACCATGGTGATTAACCCCGGCCATTTAGCCAAAGATTTTATCCGAGTGTGAACAGCTATTGACTCATCATGATCGTTTAGGCTATGTTTGGTTTGAAAGAAAAGGTAGGAAAATGTATACAAGGTTTTCTTACTTTTCCTTTCCTTTCCCTACTTTTTCCTCCAAACCAAACACAGCCTTAAATAATTGGACTGCTTTTCAATATTAGAATTCTTTATACTGTGAAAGTTAGACGGATGGAACCTAGCCCAAATAGGTCTGCAATCTCAACATACGTATAAAGGCTAAAGCTTTTTAACATTCTTATTCTCTCTAAAAGAAATTGAGGCCTGATTTGTTCTCTTCTTTTAATCATTACTTTTTACATATCAAATAAATGCTCGCAAACACGAATCAGGATATATAAATATCTCGGTTCGACTTTTGTATCACAAACAAACGGAGCCTATAGTAGATGTTTTGCTTCCCTCTCCGGTCATAAACAATAAGAAAAAAGAGGATAGGAGAGAGAGAGGGAGAGAGAGAGAGAGAATTATTACTTGCTTCCTTACAATTAGACCTGTTCATGGGCCAGGCCGGGCCGGGCCAGGCTTTCACTCAGTATTAACAGATTTTTCTAAGGCCCGAGCCCGAGCACGACTCGACTAAAAAGCCTGAAGTTCGGGTCTGGGCCCGAGACCGAAATTGAATCCACACTGTTACTACTGCTGAAGCGGCTGAATGGAGAGAGAGAGAGAATTTATAAAAAAAAAGAATAAAAATGTATATATTAAATTATAAATATATATTTCATTAAATATTACATTACTTATATATTTTATATAATATATAAAATACATATTATATATTTTATAAAATATATAATGTTGAGTCGGGCCAGGCTGGGCTTGAACCAAGCTTTTTTGACAAATTCCAAGTCCGACCTGAAATACAATCGGACTTATTGCATTAGGCACGTGGGCCTAATTACATGATCTAGCCCGACCGAGATGCAGGCCAGGCCATCACCCTACCCGGCCTATAAACAAGTCTACTTACAATCAAAAGATCTTAGACCCCGGGCTTGCTTTACAAAAGTTTTTCAAATTCCTTCCCTCTTCTCCTTTACAGTCTTCTCTCCGTGGGCCGACAATAGTATTAAAACAATGAGAGAGAGAGAGACTCTAGGGTTTTCCTTATTGTTTACTTTAGTATAGGCACCTTTACTTTAGGTCCCAGTTAGCTAAAGTGGATGTACATGGTCCATCCATATCTCCTTTTAAGGTTGAATAGAAAGAAAAGCAATTTGCAAACAACTTGCAATTTTGTGTTAGATGGAATATATATTGTAAGCTTTGTTTGTCCATGTTTAGGTACGTATAAGTAGAGCTTCAGGCTTATAAAACAATATAATTGGGATTGCATGTCTCACCTCAAGTAACTTCATTTAAAAGTTGACTCAGCAACAGCTCATCAAACATCGCATTCCACCTTTTTTTTTTTCTCTCTCTGTCTCTGGTTTTGTTTAGAAATACAATATTAAAACTTTCACTACCTTCAATCATTTCACATGAGAAACAGGGTACCTGATAAGGTTGGGCAACCAAACCTATTGAATTCAACACCCGATTTGGGTGACTTCGGGTTGGTCAAAATGGTCTCACTTTTCTTTTTTGGATTATTTCGAAATGCATGGGTGGGAGTGTAAATGAAAAGAATGCAAATTGTGTTATAATTTTATTTTCTTTTATTTGTATTGTAATGAAGCAAAACAAGGTAAACTTTTTAAACAAATAATAAATCAGAATTTGCATTAAAATCATTTGTACTTTCACAATTTTGCATGGATTCAAATAGGTTTGTACTATATCCAAACACACATCGTGTTGATGAGGGACAAAGTTATGGTGATTTTACAAATACTTGTGCTATTTTGGGGAATATTTGTCTTTAAATTTTAGATAATTAATTGACTAACGGTAAAACCTGTACCCAATCAACCCATATTATAAAAATGATAACCAATCACTAATTATTTATCAGATTCACAGAGGAATTTTAATTGGTCAAAGCCCTTATACCCGAGGTCGGTCAGGTTACCCGACCCGACCCGCCCAAGTTGCACCCTTAACACAGGAATAGTCTAGCATGGACATTGAATATGTCCAAATAGCCAATCATTTGATCTAGGTCGCTTCTCAAGTTGAAGATTCAAGAAATAGTCTTTAAGTATTTGGCCATGCCAACTGTTTACAACCCAGGAAACCACTGGTTTGTATGATGCTCCTGTTGGTTTGAACAAAGTCTACCATTGATCCCAACAAATCCCTTTTCTCCACACCCCTGGTTTTTCTTTTGTTCACTTTTCCTTTGTAATAATTTTTTTTTTTTTTTTTAAAAAAAAAGGAAGCCAAATATAAAACAGCCTGGGAATCAATCAATATCTCATTGAAGGGGACATAAATCATAAAGAAGTCATTGAATGGATAACAGGAATCTCCTTTATTTATAGTTGATAATTGATAAGTACCTACCAAAATATTTTATATTTTAACAATTAAATATAAAAGGTAATACATTATACATGCAGTGCTCACTGCCCTGCCTATCCTTACCAACCAATCATTTTGCACAAAAAATACCAGAATAATTATAATAATTAGCATCTTTTAATTTTTTTAATGTTGGATTTAGTTGCCGTGCAAATTTATTTTCACTAATACAAAATTAAGATAGTGAAAATGATTAAGTCTCAAATTCTATTTTTTTCCAAAATTTACTTTGCTTTATTTGATTGGAAATAGTAAGGCCAAACACAGAATAAAATAAGATCTGAAATAAATTTAAAGCAAAATTTGTACTAATGCAAATAAAATTGCATTGCAACCAAATCGGTGACAGGAAGGCAGTATAAACGTCTGTAACTTACGAAACCTCTAAAACAAAGAAGATTCCAAAAGCTTTATTCCTCCTTATCTTGCCATTCATATTTTAGACGAAAATTCTCAATAATTTTAATTTTTCTAAATAAAAACAAAAACAGTTGAAACACCACCCATATAATCAAATTACTTTATATTATATTTATTTTTTCTTCGTTGAAAATATTGAAATTCAAGTATGATAACGAAAAGACATGATACCCGAAAAACTTATAACAAACATAAAGTGGGTTTTAGACAAAATTTCGGAGGTTTTGATCGGCCAAAGCCTTTTTCGTTATCATGCATTTCCGGGCAATGCATCAATTCGAACAGAGTCAAATTTGGGCGAACGCGAGGCGTGTCAAATTAAAAGAGGCGATCAAAATTGAGTCAAGATCAAAGGCAACAGCGTGTAATCATACGTCCGTCCGATATACTGTTGCGCGTGATTCGATCTGGATCGTCCAAGTGTACGATTTGAGAGCATTAACCATGTAGGCCATGTTTTAGCATTTCCACACTTGAGTCGAGATGTCGAGTCGAGTCAGACTCTTTCATCGGGTTCCGGGCTCAGTTAAAAACGAAGTCGAGTCGAGTCAGACTCTTTCATCGGCGTTAATGACTAGTCGACATTAACGCCGTCACCAGAATTTAATAAAAGGAGCTTTTAACAAACGAAGGCAGGGGAACGAGTTAACGTTTTCCGTCAACAATAAATACGTAGGACCAAAGAAGCAAGAGGGTGGGTGGCAGCGCGTGGAAAAAGACACACACGAAGACCCAGGCAGGTCAGCCAAATGTCCATCCCCGATCGCAATCGCAATCAAATGAGGCGGCCTCGGGCCCCACTCTCTCTCTCTCTCTATCTCTCCATCATGAGATGAGAAATGAGTGAGAGAGAACAGAGAAGGCCGGTGCATACGATGCAGAGCCAACCACCTCCCATTTCTCTCTCTATAAAGACCTCGAAACCACGCAAAAACTCGAACAGCAGAGCAGGAAAAGAAAAGAAGGAAAAAAAATAATAAAAATATTCCTCCCGGCAAGGAGGAAGAAGTAGGGTGGAGAGATTACGAAGCTACGACGAAGAAACCCCTCTCTTTCTTTGCTTCTTCTTCTCTTTATATTGCCTGATATTTTTGTGCATTAACGTCGTACCAGAATTTCTAGGTTTTCTTTTGTTCTCTTTTTGTTTCGTTTCTTAATTACGAGAATTACTACCAGATGGGGACGGAGATTTTACGCCCTCAAGACTGTTTAATCGAACGCATGAGAGTATGTCCGGTGGCCTTGCCTCGCCGTAAGCCTTACGCCGGTAACTCCAGATCTTGCCGGAGACAGGCCATCCGGCCTGAACCTAGAAAACGCTTCCCCCAAGCAGAGCCCTCGATTTCAAAGAAATCGACCGCAAGCTCTGATGATAAGAGACCGTCGTCGTCGTCCTCGTCGTCGTCCTCGTCCTCGTCCTCGTCGTCGAAGGGTTTGGTTATGGGACAGGTGACCATCCTAAAACGTGGCGAGACTCTTGAATCCAAGAGAAGGAACGAATATTCCGCTAACAAGACCGTAGTACCGAGAGGGGATTTGGTTGTGCGTGGCACGCAGCGGTTGGGACCGGAGCCAGAAATGATCCCTAAGCAGATCCGGATCGGGGACCTGAAATCGGTTTTGCCTCCTGCTGCCGTGCGGTCCGATGTGTACGCCGGATCTGTGTGTTCACTCTCCCCTTCTCCCAGTGCTCTTCCGTTACCAAATTTTTCGAAGAAAAAAGACGGCCCTGCGATCGTCGACGATTCGGCAACAAAAGATCTGAGGCGTCTGCTTCGACTTGATTAATTAACTTATTCTCACAGGATTAAACAGGTATCTAGATCTGGACCTGGATCTAAGTTCGAGATATGGATCAAGATCAAGATACTCTTTCCCCGTTTCGTCTCGATCTTGTCTCTCATGTTCTTCAGATCTGTGACTTCTCGTGCTTTTTTTTAAACGGGACGAGGATTTGAAATGTGAGGGCAAAAGTCAGAGCGAAGCAGAGATGGTATAATCTACTACGTTACCTTACTATCTATATATAGCTTAATCTCCTTGAGGAGTGATGGATTAGCGTTAGGATTTGTTCTGGGGCAGAAAAAGCTGGGCTGTATTTTCTTGAATTTATAGCTTTTTTTTTCCTTCTTTTTCCAGTTAGGGGAGAGGATATGAGATGTGAATCTTCTGCTCTGCTGTTAGGGTATGTAAGTAAACCCCGTCCACCACCTCCTCCGCCTCGTCCTTCATCTGCTGTATTATAATGAAAAGGGGGGAAGAAATTTGCAGGTTAATTGCTGGTTTCTCTTCCCCTTGTGTGCACTCAGTGGTTTTAATGGGTTAATCCTCGAGTCTGTAATGTCTGACAGAATGGTTTTAGTAGTTTTCTATTCTTTTGTCCTTTGTAATCTAAACTTGTATAAAGAGGATGGAGGAAGCATCTGATAGGGTGTTAGAAGGTAGGAAACCAAGTCGTAATAATGATTCTAGCGTAGGTGGTTTTAGATTGTAATGAAATTTTAGAATATGGTTGTCGCCATGGTTTGCCTGTTTATTTTTATTTATCTATTCTTTCTGGTTTATCAGTTCTCTAACAGAGGGGATGGCTTTGCCTTGAGATTTGAGAACAAAATTGATTACTCCTGAATCTGAGACGAGTAGGAAGGTAGGCGATCGTAGATGAGTTGGGTGGACTCTTTCAGGGTTGCCAAGAATGATTTCTTTAGAAATTGCAAATGGCCAAGGTAGATTCAACAATTTACAGATGAGTAATGATCGCCATCGGTACGCTGGAAAGCTTAGAAAAAAAGTAAATTAGAAAGGAGTCTTGATCTCCTGCTCACAAGAACTCTACCCACTTTATTACTTGCATTTGCGACGAAAACCGAGACCCTCTTACCGTGTAAAACTGCTAAACTATCAAGTTATGCCTTCTTTCTGATTAAGGCCATGATAAAAACTCAAACAGTCAAATGGGAATATTTTCTGATAGCTCTGAAGAAGATTGGTGAAACTCAATCCTCTTATTAAGGATCTGGAAAATTTGATAAGTGAGACAGATGAGATGTTGATCAGGAGGAAGAAATTTGGGAGGCATGGATTACAGGCCGTAATAAGAAATTTTGGCATATAATTGGAATAGCGTATGATGATCAGCGAGACAAATCAAACTCTAACATAATACCCAAAATAGGAAACCCATACAAGTCTATGCAATGTATCATAAAATTATCGCAAGAATTCTAGTGAATAGAGTTCGACGACCTCTACTAGAAAAGATCATTTTGCCCTATCAAAGCACATTTGTTTCCAAGGGGCAAATCAATGATAACATTCTTGTAGACTGTAGCCAATGATAGGTTTGAATGAAAATTTATTGAAGATAGCATCCAAAAAGTAGGTTTCAGCGAAACTTGGATGTAAATTAGACATGGAAATCCATGAGGTGTAAATTAGACATGGAAAAAGCCAATGATAGGTTTGAATGAAAATTTATTGAAGATAGCATGGTTTCAACAAAACTTGGATAAACTGGGTGATGCAGTGCGTCTCCACTGTGTCATATAGGTTCATTGTGAATGGTATCTTGGGACAGAAATTTGAGGCAAGTAGAGAAAGTAGACAAGGTGACTCCCTTTCACCATTCTTGTCCTATGTGCTAAACAAATGGATGGAAGATAGGAAATTAGATATTGGCTTCCCCTTTGGGAAAAGTGTTTCCCGAAACCCTATACTTCAATTTGTGGATGATTGCATGATATATTGTAGGGCCACACTAAATGAATGTAGTGAAATCTTGGAGATCCTAAACCAATGAGAAAACTTCAAGACAAAATGTTAATTTTAATAAATCCAAAGTTTTCTTCTGGGGCAATCTTCCTCCTAGGCTCCTAATTTGTCTCAAGAAAATTAAAAATTCCTAAAACCTCTGAAAAAGAAAAATACCTAGGGGCTTCCATCATTGCAAAATGGTGAAGTAAGGAATACTTCCAAACCATTACTCAAAACCTGAAATGTAGAATTAAGGGTTGGAAAGCAAGCACCCTATCCAAAGTGGGCAAACTTGCACTAATCAAATCAGTCGCAAGTGCTATGCCATTATTCAAAGAAATTTCTTTTGGGGAGACGGAATAGAAAAGGAGATTTGCTAGGACCAAATGGAAAAACATTTGCAAGCCATACTGGTGGGAGGGGGGGGNGGGGGGGGGCTTGGTATAAGAGAAGTTGAGAAAGTAAACAAGGCTTGCATGGCTAAACTTGGATGGAAAATTATTAAAGATCATAAAAACCTTTGGTTTCAACTAATATCAAATACGAGCCTAAAGAGGATTCCTTCTTCTAAGCTATTCCAAGAAAGAAAAAAATTGTCCTTAAAATGAAAAGGACAAATTGAAGACGAGGACTCCTTCTAAGAGCAACAAATGCTCAACTGATAGAAGAAGTGAAGGAACTAATTCCAAATCTCCCCCAATCTCCTTCTAAATCGACCAACACTGTGGCACTCTCGATAGAGGAAGTAGTAGCACTTCTAAAAGAAAATGAGTATCTGAATGTGGACTTAGACTGGGACGCATTCGTGGAGGAAGATGATAGTGATTTGGGCTCCTCTCCTCCTGAACCAGTGGAACAACTAGCTGAATTGGATATCTGCAACCAGGTAACTCTCTGTTTACATACAAAAAGCTCGGTTGTTTTAGGTACACCGGATTTATTTGTTTATGACAATAATATGTTAATGCCTATGTTTTTATGGAAATATAAAAAGAAAAGAGAGAAAGGTAAACTTGACTTTAGAGGTCCTTGTTAGAAGAAAAAATTAACATAGTTTTTCTTTGTGAAACAAAATGTTCTTTCCTTAAACGGGGAGGGGGGGGGGTCAAGAAATCAGTAGTTCAAGGGTCAAACCATGTCCAAATCCTAATTGATACTGAAATGAATGTGGCCAAAGGAAGAAGACCATTGAGGTTTGAGGAGATGTGATGCTAAATGGGGACTACAAGAATCTGATAGAAAAGGTTTGGGGTGAGGTAGTAGAACGATAAAGTCAATTCAAAGTTAATTTTAGTGAAATGGAACAAAAAAGTCTTTGGTAAGGTCAATGAAAAAATCTCGCACCTAAAGCAAACCCTTCAACATCTAATATGTGCAAAGGCCGAGTTCTATAACCCAGATGCAATTAAAAAGGTAGAAAAGGAGTTGGATCTCGAACTTAAAAAATTGGATGTGGGCCCAAAAGTCAAGGGTCAATTGGCTTGAACATGGATATAGAAAATTCTTCCATGTCTCTACCCTAGCCAGAAGAAATAGGAACAAAATCTTAAAAATAAAAAATGGTGAAGGGAATTGGCTAGAAAGCCAAGAGGATATAAAAAGAGCTTTTTGTTGAGTTCTATTAGGGTTTGTTTCAAACTTCGAATCCCACTAATATGGAGAAAATCTTAAATTTGATTCAAAACAAAGTTTCAAGAGAAATGAATGAAGCCCTAGAGAGGGAGATCATAGAAGAAGAGATTGTTCAGACCATGAACCAAATAAACCCTAGGAAAGCTGGACCAAGATGGATTCCCTACCATATCAAAGCTACTGGGAGATGTCTTAAATGCTGTTAAAACTTTTTTGGACTGGTCACATGTTGAGGTATTTTAATGCCACTTTCATCACCTTGATTCCCAAAACCCACCATCCTGAATCAATGAATCGGTACAAACCCTTAAGTCTCAGCAATACAATCTACAGAATCATAGCCAAGATCTTAGTGAACAGACTAAACAGGTACATGAATGAAATTATTATCCAGAGCTAGAGTGCATTCCTAGCAAATAGATCCATTATGGATAATGTTCTCATTTCTCTTAAGGTCATTCACTTCCTAAGAACCTCTAGAGCTAAGAGAACTGGCATGGCAATAAAGTTGGGCGTGAACAAAGCCTATGACAAAGTAGAATGGGGTTTTCTTAAGAGAGTTTTGGAGATAGGTGGATCAGTTAGATAATGGAATGTGTAACCATAGTCTCTTACTAATTGCTCATTAATGGGAAGCAAAGTAGAAGGATCTTGCCTTCTAGAAGACTAAGACAATGTGATCTTTTATCACCTTATTTGTTCTTCTTTTGTGCCGAAGCCTTCTCCCTATTGATTGATAATTTGGCAAATTCTGGAAAAATTTCAGGTGTGAAACTGGCGAGAAACTGTCCTCAAATTATTCACTTATTCTTTACAGATGATATCTACATCTTTACTAAAGCAAATTTGGAGAAAGGATGGAACTGCTGGGAAGCTATTAAAGAATATGGAAGGGTGTCAAGACAACAAATGAACTCAAAATTAGAAGTATTTTTTAGCAGAAATGTACACCCAAAACTTAGGAAAATCATTGCAAAAAGCCTGCACCTAAAAGCAGTGTCTACTCCATCAATCTATTTAGTTCTGCCCCTCTCCTTTGGCAGATCGAAAAAAAGAAGCTTATAATATCATCCTAGTAGAGAGAATAGAGAAAAAAATAACCACCTCTTGGAACAAGTTGCTTCTTTCCCAGAAGGTAAGGTCTTGCTAAAAGCTATAACCACAGCCATTCCAAGCTACACAATGTCATGTTTCTTGCTCCTAGAAAGAATTCATAATGACCTCTCGAAAGCCAATAAAGCTTTTTTGTGGGGAAGTACCAAGGAGAAAAAGAAGGTGAGTTGGACAAAAATATATAAGAATAAAGGTAATGGGGGTTTGGTTTTTAGGGAACCAAAGCTTTTCAACCTTGCTCTCCTAGCAAAATTGGCATGGAGGCTTAGTAACCGTCCAGGCTGTCTCTGGGCAAAAGGTAATGAAAGCAGTTTATTTTCTAAATTCTAATTTTCTTCATAATGGGCTCAAGAAAAAGGGATCCTAGGGATGGAGAAGCCTCTTAGCAGGGACAGAGGTAACCCTTAGGGGAGCTTGTTGGGTAGTGAGTGATGGGCAAAAGGTTAATATTTAGTTGGACCCTTGGATACCCAATCTTGAAGGATATAAAGTCATGGGACCGAACCCAGGACCTTTAGGTCCCATGACTTTTGGGTTCCTTCAGAAGTTGGTGTTGTAAAAGTTAATATCGATGGTTGTCTTTTTGAAAATAACAAAGGCTTTTTTGGTGCTGTTATCAAAGACTACAGAGGAAGGATAATAGTAGGATCGTGTAGAGCCTTCAAGGCTTCTATGGCCATTCAAGCTGAGGCTCTCGCTTTTCTCAAGGGTGTTAACTTGGTAAAGAACGGGTCTGAAAGCATTAGAATTATATTTTTTGAAAGTGATTGCAGGAGCTTGGTGAATGCCATTCTGGGAGTGAAGGAAAGCTGTCCACCTACTGTGCTTTTTCTGATTAAGGGACTTGAATGAATGGTTAAAGAGGTTAAAGAAAGCTAAGAGTCTCCCTCATCCCAATGAGTGCTAACAAAGTGGGCCCATGGTTTCTGATGCTGCACAATCCTAGCTGGCAGTGGCTTAGCTCCCTATAGATGACGGACATGGAGAATCTGCACAGAAAATCAGAGAACCCGGGGTGGTTAACTCGGCGAGGTCACTCTGATG